ACACACTACATGGAGACAACCCCCCCCACCTCCCCACAAACCCAACACCTCGGGGTGGAGGGGAGGGGGAGGCGAGGCCAGCCCCGGACGGGACGGAGGAGAAGACCTGCCCGGGTGGCTGGTGGGCAGGAGACGGGGAGGGATGGCCCGACGTCTCTAACCTCCCTGCTGCGGGATAGAGCCCCGGGAGAAAGGGAGCAGGCCGGGGTTGGGGAGCCATGGGGCTGGGGTAGCCTCCCCCTCCGAGGGGAGAGAGGAGCGGTGGGCGCTGCAGCCCCCCAGCATGGCAGCAACAAGTTGTACTGGGATGGTGAAGAGACGAGGAGATGCGCTAGCCCGCCTCGGGTTTCCACTCGCCACCGGGCTATCCACCCCCCCCCTCCCCATATCACTCCCGGTTTCAATCCTCTGGAGGGACGACGGCAGGCAGGGAAGAGAGAGGATGCTTTTTTAGCCTTAGCTTGGCCGATCCCTCTTATCACTTCTCCTTCCTTTTTTTTTTTTTCCCCAAGTTCCCTCCAGTACCTTGGCTCTCCCTTTAAAATATGCTCTACATGAATAAAAACCCCGTAAAAGAGGTTTACTGGCGACCAGAAAGGACAAACGTCTTTTTTTTTCCCCCTCTAAATAGAAGAGGATAAATAATTATGAAATTGCGAGTCTACTTGAAAGATACTGTGACCCTTCCACCTTTGTTTTCATCAAGCCAGCCAGTGCTGGAGCTACGTGTCCTGAGCGAGGAGAAAAGGAGAGAGGGGAGCAACGAGGTGCTTTTCCTTCGCCTCCTTTCCTCGCCCGTCCCTTAGCCGGCCTTTTACTCTTTTCTAAAGTGCAAGCAGGTCTTCAAAATCTCTTTTATCTCTCGAGAAACGTTAACTCTTAGCCTCGACTGTAGCCCTCGTCCGATCTCTCCAGTGCAGGCTTGCCTGAAATGCAAGATCAGCCCTTTCTCAGCCGGATCTCCCTCCGTGCCGCTGCCGGGGGAGCAGAAGGGAGAACCCTTCTAGTTTCTAACAGTTGAGACATTAGCTCGGGCAAACCCCCCCCTCCCCGC